TTTGGTCTTTTTGAGACAGGGTCTCCCTGTAGCCCCAGCTGTCCTGGAACTCACTATGTAGACCAGGCTGGCCTTGAACTCACAGAGATCCGCCTGCCTCTGCCTCCCGAGTGCTGGGATTAAAGGCGTGCACCACCACGCCCGGCTTTGGATTGGATTTTTTTAAGAAAGGAAGCAAGAGGTGGAGGCACAGGCCTTCTGAAGGCTGGGAGGGAGGCCATTTTACATGTAACCTGGCCAGGTGAAATGACGTTGACGTTGAGGTCTTCTGTGGTATACTTTCATAAGAGCTGAACTTTTTAAAAATGAATTGAGGCGCATTCCTTTCCCAATGGCATAGTGTACTGAAAATTCAATGCATTGGTGACAACTGATGGCTCAAATGATTCATGTCCTCTCTAACTGTGGGTGGTACCTGGGTCACTGATTTCCCTGCCCACCCTCCCACCCCACTGAATGTTTTTGTTTTCTCCCTGTTGAATTAAAATTACAAATCTGCCTGAATGAAGGTCGCTGTCCTTAGTAAACTTTATCTTTTATGCTCAAATACTTCATTTCTGTTAGGGAAGCAATAAATTATATAGCCAGGGCTCATGCCTAGATATTTTTCCCATTTATTTATTTTATGTGTGTGGAAGTCAAAGGATAACTTACTGCAGTCAGTTTTCTCTGTCTACCATGTGGGTCCCAGAGATCGAACTCCAGTCATCAGACTTGGTGGCAAGTACCTTTACCCATTGAAACTTCTTGCTGGTTCAGGGCTTAATTTTTTAAAGCACATTCTTCCTTTGAATTTTCTCAATGTTAAGTTTTGCACATACACATAGATAAGAGGAAGAATCCTTAAAGAGGTTTTTTTTTTCTTTTTAATGCAAAAATAAATTTAAAAGATGGGTACAGAGGAAGGGAGGTTTTACTTGGTGAAATATTTTATGTAGACACTGCTTTAAGCATGAGCTAGAAAAGGTCAACTAGGATACAAAAGAAAGAAAGGGACCCTTCAGCATTGGAAAACAGCTTTGGAGGATTGTAGGTTCTGCCTTGCAAGATCCTTTTCCCTCTAGTGACACTGTTATCCCTGTCCTCTAGCGTATGGACATGGACCGGCGAAGAGAGGATGCCCGGAACCCAAAGCGCAAGCCTCGTCTGATGGAGGAAGATGAGCTGCCCTCCTGGATTATTAAGGATGATGCTGAAGTGGAAAGGCTCACCTGTGAAGAAGAGGAGGAGAAAATATTTGGCAGGGGGTCTCGCCAGCGCCGGGACGTGGACTACAGTGACGCCCTCACAGAGAAGCAGTGGCTCAGGGTAGGTGTGGTGTTTTAAATTTATCCTTGATTGCTGGAATGTTTTGGGTGCTTTTGGAGAAGTCACGGGCCAAGAGCTGGCATTGTCTGCTGTGGTTGAGTTGCTGATGGCAGAGCCTGGGCTCCCAAACATAGAAGATAGAGTCTACTGGTACAGTGGCCATTATGCTTTGGAGAAAACAAAATGAAGCATTTCTTGCTAGAACAGAATTGGCCATGGAAGCCAGGATTATTAGAGCTGTGAGACCCATTAATGTTTTATGACCGGTTATCTGGCCATGCCTTGCTTTCTCAAACTGAGAATCAAAATGGAAGAGGAGGCCTTAGAGATCTTTTTAATTGTTCTCCCTTATTTCATGGTCTTTAGTCAGAGGATTACCTTTGTATGTGGCATGCAGAGAGTTCAGAGGCTGCATTGTTTTCCAGCTCTGTGATTTTGTGGTTATAGCACATTTAGATGTGGAAGGTGTCTTCTGTATTCTTTGGTTTTACTGAAGAAATTGAAGCCCAGAGTTTGTGTGACTGTTCAGGACACACAGCTAGACAGAAATACCGAATCAGTAGATACTGATGTATTTCCATACTGGACTTTACCCATTGACTGCATAGACTGTAGCCTGAACTAGGGTCACTAGAGGCTAGACAAATACTATTCTAAAGTTTGGGTTTTTTTCTGTTCAGAAAGTGGTTTAATTTCTTACTTTATAACTAGAAAGTGAAATTGCACACTGTTCCTTGGGATCCCAGAAATACCAAAATGCTCATAGGAGCCACGTGGGAGTGTCAATGGCCAGTGTAGTTCTTTTTGGAAAGTTTGACATCCTTTCCATTCTTTTGAGCAGACTTAGTACCTGACAGGCAGAGCAGTCTGGGACACACATTCTAGATGGGGCCAGCAAGTGAATGTTGGAAATAGTATGAGCAGTTGGGCAAAAACCAAACAAAACAGAAGCTGGTGTTGGATGCTGTACATTTTCTTAAGAGCAATATAATTCCTAGGCTTTGCCAACAGGGAGTTTTAGAGCCTGGGGATGGATTTCGAGGCTGGTCATCCAAGGCTAAGATGGGTTTGGTTCCACTTGAGATGTGATTCACTCGGGGTATTGTGTGATGACAGAGATGTGACCTGAATTTTGAGAAGATGGAAGTCCGTGGGCTCCTGAAAAGGGAAGCTAACAAAGCATCACTCATATTTATGGTTGAACAATTGCATATGAAGTGTAACTTGTGTGTGATTGTTTCCTTGTCAGATCCAGTCAAGGATTCCAGTGGCCTCTCAGAATGTGGCTCTGCGAATTCCCTTTGTTTGACTGTTAAGATTGTAGTTGTATAATTAAGATTCATTGTATAATGTAAGGAATTTTTTCAATATTCATTTCTGAGCTTGAAAAAATTCTATTCCTTTTTTCCTTATTTAAGCAATAAATTAAGTTCTGGGGGTGTTATTATAGGAGATGAGACAGCCATAATCTAGGCCAGTGTTTTTAAACCATTTTTTTATATGAATAATCCCCAGACGTTACAGGCAAAACAACCCTGTTTATTGGACAAGATTGTAGCTGAACTTATTTTTTGTTTTGTAATCACAGAGAATTGCTCTTAAGAAAAATCAACATGATGCCAGGTGTGGTGGCTCATGCCTTTAATCCCAGCCCTGGGGAGGCAGAGGAAGGCCATCTCTGTGAGCTCAAGGCCAGCCTGAACTACATAGTAAGTTCCAGGCCAGCTGGGGCTACAGGGAGACCCTGTCTCAAAAAAACCAAAAAAAAAAAAAAAGGAAAAAAGAAAAAAAAAAGAAATGAACATGAATCTTGAACGTTTGGAAGTCTTCATGCTTAAGACACCTTATTTACTTTTTCTTTTCATTCAGCTTACACCACACAGTGCCCAGCATGTAAGAGAGATTCAGTGAAGGCTTGTGGAAATGAAAGTATTATCTTTAGGAAAGTGAAAGTTACTAACTTTCCAGTTGTGTTTGGAGATCATTTCCCTTTTCAGTGTGTGGAGTACGTTCCCTTTTTATTCACAGCAGGCACGTTTAAAAATGGAAAACTAGTGTGTTTTACAGAATTCCTCTGTGGAAAGTGATGTTTATGATTTTATCCCTAAGGTGCCTTACAACATATCAGGTCATCCAAGATGCTGAAACTGTTGTCAGGACAGCTTTGGTGTAACGTATCTTATTGGCAAATCTTGTGAAAATTGTATGTCTGTGTTTGGTATGAGTCAACAACTTATGGTTAAGCACGGCGTGCACCTTTACCCAAATGCTTAGTAAAATGGATGCTTACTGTCCTTTGTTTTTGGGGGTTGTTGTTGTTGTTGCTGTTATTCACTCAGCAGCAGTTCTATTTAATTATAGCTATCAAATTTTTGTTGTAAAAAATTGAAATTAAGGACTGGAGAGATGACTTAGCAGCTAAGAGCACTTGACTGTTCTTGCAGAAGACCCAGGTTTGAATTCCAGCACCCACATGGTGGTTACCAACCATCCGTAACTCCAGTTCCAGGGGAATCCAGTGCCCTCTTCTGTCCTCTGCAGGTACTGCACAACACCGGTACACTTACATACATGCAAGGTGATACACCCATACACATAAAATAAAAATAAATAACTGAAAACTTTTTAATGAAATGGAAGGTGTTCTTCTGGGTCTGGGTGTGAAGAGATGTTCTGTGCTGCTGGAGACTGGTGCATTGAGCAGACACAGCGAGCACAGCCTTAAGGGGAAGATTGGCAAGGATGGCATGTAAAAAACGCTCCAACAGGGCTGAAATCATTCTTTTTCCTGGCAAAACTGCACACAGTCTTCTTGGCCAAGGCATGGAAGATACATAGAATCCTGGAGTGGGAAGGCAGCTGAATGGAGCAGCTTCCATCCTGTGCTCAGCTTGCACTCTCTGCAGCAGCCGTGCCAGGAGGCTGGCTGGCCCTCAAAGGAAGCACACTGCCTTTTTGTCTTTGGAGCCACTCAAGTTCAAGGTCAACCCTGATGGTTGATTCTTTCTCCCTTTGAGCAAAATTCTCTTTCCCCATTGCTGTTCCTTCCTGGCCTTGATTCTATTCTCTAGGAAGAATAGAACAGTGTGTTTTCTGTCTTTACATCACAGCTCCACGGATAGAATATTAGAGGACTTAGGTTCAGTCTGGCATGAACTTCTAGCCCTCCTCTTTCTTTTGAACTTTTCTCATCCTTTAAGGCTCAGTTCAATGGTTGTCTGGGCAGATAAATACTAATTGCCCATCCCAGTGTGCCTTTGGATTTCTTTGTTTGCCCATGTCACGGCACCACCCCGGCTTCCCAGCATTCTCACTCATTGCCTGATTTCCTGGCTGCTTGGTAAGCTGGATCTACGTCTTGTTAGAATTTAGTACTTCCAGTAAGTCAGGGTTTATTGCTCAGCCCATGCTTTCCATGGTGAGCAGTCCTGGTTGGTGAGGGCCCTTGTTCTCCAGGTATCCTTCAACTAGCCAGGCGGGCGGAGCAGCTGCCAGCTTGGGTGGCTCTGTCCACATGAGCTAGGAGAAGGTAAAACATCAAGGCGCAGGAGTGTGGCGGTCTAATGGGTTGTGTCTTAGTGGCTCTCCATATCACTTCCACTTACATTTCATTGGGCAGGCCTCAGTCATGTGGTCACTCCAGCTGCAAAGGAAACTCAGAAATGTGGCTTTGAGCCCAAGAGAGCAAGGTTTTGGTTAATACCTAAGTGTCTCTGGATTGCAGGGAGGGTGCCTTGGAACGAAAGGAGCTCTTTTTGATGGAATACACCTGCACTGATAAGGAATTTGCAAGGCAGTATCTTCCAAAAAAGATAAAGCAGGGACTTTTATTGGAGGAACTGTATGCATGTAGGGAAGGCATCGCCATGTGTAGAAACACATTTCTGAGCATGGTCAATTTGAGATCATCACCAGTTGTTCAAAAAAAAAAAAAAAAAGAAAGATGATGGGCACATTCCTGAGCATGCTCAATGGGGTCATAATTGCATGCTTAATATGAAAGATGGTGGGTACAGAGAATATAGCATTATAATCAGCATAATTCTCCTCAGCTTCCCTAAAAAGAGTAAGCTAGAGTGGCATGGTGATTTGGGCTGTTTAAGTATCTCCAAAAAGCCTGTATTTGCTGGGTATGGTGGCACACACCCTTAATCCCAGCACTCAGGGGGCAGAGGCAGGCAGATACGCACCTTTAATCGCAGCACTCAGGAGGCAGAGACAGATAGATCCCTGTGAGATCTAGGCTAGCCTGTTCTACAGAGCAAGTTTCAGGTCAGCTGGTGCTACAGGGAGTCTCAAAACAAAACAAACAAAACCAAAAAACACAAAAAACCCAAAAACCTAAAGTCAGGGCTGGGCTGGGGAGATGGCTCAGAAGTTAAGAGCACTGGCTGCTCTTGCAGAGGACCTAGGTTCGACTCCCAGCATCCTCATAGCGTCTGACAACTGTCTGTGACTCCAGTTCCAGGGGATCTCATGCCTTCTTCTGACCTCCATGGTCATTTCACGACACAGGTGCACGTACACATGCAGGATATACACTCATACACATAAAAAATAGAAAATAAAATAAATCCAAAACCCAAAGTCTACATTCGTCACTTTTTTTGTTGATGTGACAAAATAACTGACTGAAGCAGGTTAAGGGTCAGGAGAGGTTTATTTGGGGGCATGGTTCAGGCTTACAGTCCATCAGGTGGAGAAAGCATGACCTCTGGGTGGACTCTGCTGTGGCAGGTGGGGCTTGCAGACAGTCACATCGCAAGGCATACAGGAACTCCAACAGGACCAGGGATTGGATACCCTTCAAGACCCAAGGTCTTGACAGCCTGCATCAGCCGATTAGACCCCATATCCCAAAGGTTCCAATCTCCCACCAGCTGGGGACCAAGCGTTCAATCAAACACATGAACTTGTGTGGGACATTTAGCATGCAAACCATAACAAAACCTTGACTGAAATAAAAACAAAACAAACAAACAAACAAAAAACCTACTTTG